TATGCAGTGGATAGACTTCAGAAAAGTAAAAAAAAAATCAAAGATGAAATTAATTTAAGGGCAAGGACTATTATAGTCCTTATGTTCATTAAGTCTTTTTCCTAGACAAGAGGGAGAAGCACAGAGCAATGGAATGCTGCTACTGACTTTAGCAGAGGTGTTGGATAGCACCCAGTTTAAAATCTGTAATTAAATTCATTTGTTGGTATTCCTGTGGCAATTTGAGTTGCCACGATCAAAACAGGAAGAGACTGTGACATGTGAGTGAGAAGAATCAACTCTGATATGGATCTTATTTTTATGAATAATGGTTTGTTCCCACTCACTAATTTTGGTTTCAGTTTCATTAGAGGAGTTCGTCCCTGGCTTTCTGTTGATGCCAAGGTGCTTTCCAGGTCTATTAAATCTGCTCAGAATCCTTCATCATGCATTTCTTCCTTGACCACTTCCAGGAGAAAGGGAAAAACACTGCTGGGAGCCAAAATCAAAAGGGTTTGTGGGCTATTTGTGAGTGTAATCCCATTTTGAAAGCAAGGCTTCTGGAAAATTACAGAAGGCTGGAGAATGATCTCAAACTGACACACAGATGGATGTAAATTTCATTTGCAGATTGTTTCTGCTGATTTTCTTCTGGTTCATATTTTGTCCACAAGTTCTCACCATTATTTGTTACCATTATAGTGAGAATTAATACTTTTTTTCTGAGTTTACAGAAAATTGCTGGGTTGGTTTTTTTTCCTTTTACCAGAAGGTAAATGTGAGGCAATAAATTTAAGGCTCTGGAAAGTGTTTATGTGTAGAAGAGGAAAAGGAGGGAGGTTAGGGCATTTTTTGGAAGGTGAATTTAGTGAGGTGAAGATTGATCAGCCTTGGCAGCTCTGGAAATGGATGGCTCCTATCTTGCATTAGGAGTACACACAACAAGAGTGCAAATGTCACAATCTTCCTTGTTTTTTTGAGGGACCACCTGCAGAGCTGTGATGTTTGTCCAGTTTCCATGCTTTTTTGGTCTTTGGCCTGTCTGAGGCTGCCAACAAATGTGTTAATGGCTGTGGTTTTGGTAATGTGGACACCTGTCCAGGACAAAATGAACTGTGATCAGTAATTAATGTCAAATTTGTTGAAGATGTAAGTTCCTCCTTTCCCTCCTTCCTGTCAACAATTTATTTTTCCTTTCCATGGACTGTGCAACCTTGTTGACTTCATCAGGGTTTTCTGGATATAATAAAATACCCTCAGGCCAGATGTATTTTTAATTTAGCTTTTAAAAGTGCCCTCAGAGGATAATCAAGGAAAATATAAGAAGTTTTTGCTTCCTTGGCACTTTTCTGATTGTCTCCTTTCTACGCAGCTTTTTACCAAAAGCAATTGTAACATGGAGGTCCATGAAAATTATTCTGCCACTGCCATAAACAGTGCTCTGGTTCCTTTAGTGGAACTCAGAGATTCCTAAGAAGAAAAACAAGGTAGTACCAGGAACCTTTTAAAAACATAGACAGTTTAATAAGTGAGAGAGTATCTTGCAAGATTCCAGAAATACAATAATTATTTTCCTCTTTTCCTTTGCAGATTGTTCTTATGATTTGATTTGACTATTATACTTGAATAAATATTTCTATTTAGACTTTAGACAGATGCAAACATAGAATTACTTGTAGATGCTCTTGATAATACATATACTAAAAAAATTAAACTTGGAGAGTTAATTTGCTGTTTATTTTCTTGTGCTTCTGCCTTGAACATGGCTGTAAGCTTTCTTAGTTTTGTACTAAGCCTTGGTTTATTCAGGCTGAAAGTGCCATGCAAAAAAGAGGAAGACTGTGCATATTTTCTTAGTTCTCATTCCAGGCAAAACAAGGAGGCAGAAGGGAACACAGCAATGTTAACCTAACTTTATAAAAAATCAAAATTAACATGAATTTTTGCGTATTAGAGTTTTTTCTTTTTTTTTTTTTTTCAGCTGGAAATATTTTGTATTCTCTTGAGCCATTCAGAATGCCAGTTTTAAAATCAAGTTGGTATTGTTGTTTGGTGAAAATTGTGATTTAAGTGTTTTGCTTTTTGGGTACTTTAGAATCCCCCAGGTGCAGATTGAGAGCACATTCAAGTTAAAATGCAAACATTTTCCAAAGCTGTAGCTCGTGCAGTAGGTGTTTGGTGACTCTGAATTATTGGGTACAGTTTGGGTTGGAACAAAGCCTAGAAGCTGTGCTTGGGTTGTGCTACCACACTGCAACAGAGAGGAAAACAAGGAAGGGGGGAACAAAGATCTCAGTGAATCTGCCCACGTTTTGATCTTCACTAATCTGCTTTCTTTAGAAGTATTTCAAAGTGCACCCATCCTTGGTCTTGCATGAGTGCTTCATAATGCAGTGCTGAAGAGGGGAGCAATATTAAAATATTGATAATTCATTTATTTACATGTTGGATATACAGCTCACCTCCGTCACCAATCCTTATGGGTGATTTTATCTTCCCAGATGTCAGCTGGGAATATCATACAGAGGACTCAAACAGGTCCAGGAGATTTCTGAGCACGTTGAAGACAACTTCCTGGCACAGGTGGTCGACTAGGAAAGGTGTCCTCCTAGATTTGTTGTTTATGAGGGACTTGTGGGCAAAGTGATGGCTGGTGGTTGTGTCTTGGTGACCTTGAAGGAGCCAAGTTTCAAAAGCTGGTGTTAGAAGAGAAGCTGTCAGCAAAATTTGGACCCTGGATGTGTGGGGAGCAGTAGAGGCTGGTTAGTAAAGTCTTTTGGGAATCTGCTCTTGGAGGTACTGGGGATTCTGAATGCTGGTCACCTTCCCAAGGCCATCTCCTAAGGGCACAGGAAGAGGCAATTCCAAAGGGTTGGAAGCCAAGCAAAGCTGGCCAGAAGACCATCTTGGCTAAGCAGGGATCTTCTAGAACTTTGAGAGAAAAGGGGGGGGCCAGGTGACATGGGAGAAGATTCCGTCCCCAAGGTAGGGAGAAAATTACTGCAGCCAAAATTCAATTGGAGTTCAAGCAGGCCAGCACTGGGAAGGACAATAAAAGGGGCTTTTATTAATATGTTCATAGCAAAAGGGGAATCAGAAATAGCATTGGGCCATGGCATCATGAGATTGGTTACCCCAAAAAACAGCCACATTGACAAAGCAGACTTTTAATGTCCTCTTCACTTCTGCCTTCAACAATGATGGGCCCTGGGAAGTCTGGAGTTCTGTTGGAAAGCCATGACTGTTGGGGGATGATAAAATCTCAGTCCACCCTGAGTTTGTTTGAGGCTTGCTGCTACAGCTGGATGTGCATAAATCATGGGGCTTGGTGGGATCCATCCCAGGACACTGAAAGACCTGGCAGATGTCATTGAGGGACATCACTCCATTTATTTTTCAGTGGTCTTGAGAGTCTGGAGAGATCCCACTAAACTGAAAGCTGGCAAATATTGTCCCTTGTCCCTGACAAGAAGGAAGTGCCTGGTGATTTCAGACCTGTCAGTCTCATTGCAGTGCCTTGTAAAACTATGGAGAAAGTTGTTTTGGGAGTTATGGAAAAACACTCAAGCGACAACACAGTCATTGATCACAGCCAGCACAAGTTTAGGAGGGAAAGTCCTGCTTAAACAACTCAAATTTATCCATAGTTGACTAAGGAAAGTCAGAAAATGTGGGTTTTTTGGATTTGAGCAAAGCTTTTGATCCTGTCACTGAATCCTTATGGATAAATGCTCGAGCACACATCTCAACAAGCCCATGAAACACTGGATGAGCAATTGGCTCAAAGAGTTGCAGCAAGCAGGGTCACATCAGCTTGGCCCTCAGTCACTGGGGGGGACCCCAGGGCTCAACTTCACAGCTAGTGAAGCAGACATCTTTTATGGAAAATCCTTTCCATAGGATTTTTCCTCCTGAGAAGCTGGGAGGCCTCAGGAACAAAATGTAAACAATGATTATCTGCTGCTGAGAAATGCAACAGGTGGATCTGTGATTGGCCCATGTGGTTGTTTCTAATTAATGGCCAATCACAGTCAGCTGGCTTGGACAGAGAGCCCGAGACACAAACCTTTGTTATCATTCCTTCTTTTTCTATTCTTAGCTAGCCTTGTGATGAAATCCTTTCTTCTATTCTTTTAGTATAGTTTTAATATAATATATATCATAAAATAATAAATCAAGCCTTCTGAAACATGGAGTCAGATCCTCATCTCTTCCCTCATCCTGGGACCCCTGTGAACCCCATCACACTCCAGTATGTTTTTAAGTGATTAAGACTCATAAATCGAATGCACATTATAAGTTAGTTTGAGAGCTGTACTGGACTGGGGAGAGCTGTGAGCTCCCCCAGGCCTCACAGAGATATCTGGATATACCAGAGAGTTGGGCAATCACCAACTGTATGAAATGCACAAAAGCAAGAGCTTTACTCTCCCTCAGACGTGAGCCCGTCTGGTTATACACACAGGCTGTGGGACAAGAGGCTGGAGAGCAGCCCTGCAAGGTCAGTGTCAGTCACCAGTGTGCCCTGGCAGCCAGAGGGGTCACCTGTGTCCTGGGGGGCACAGGGATGGAGGGAGGGCATTGCCCCATCCTGCTCTGCACTGCTGCAGCCCCACCTGGAGTCCTGGGGGCAGTTTTGGTGTCTCAATAGAAGAAGGACATCAGAACATGAAAGCTCATGCAGAGGAAGGCAACCCAGGTGGGGAAAGGCTTGGAGGGCAAGGAGGTGTCAAAACAAAATAAGAATAATGTTGTGGTTTTCCTTATGATATACTGATGGAATGGAGCCTAAACCATCTGTTTATTCACGCAGATCACATTCAAGAACTGATTATCTCTCCCTTTTAATTATTGCCTGGCATATGCGTACAAAAAGTCAACGGATTAGGCTAAATTGTTTTTATTGCATCATTTTTCTCAACAAGCTCATTTGTATTAGTTCTATGAATAGATTAGATGTGCAAACTGTACTGATAATGAAAAAACCCACCTCGGATCTCTTCCCCCTTTCACTCTGTTAGGAAATAGTTCTGGTGGTGTTTTTTGGTGCTGAGTACCTGGTCCGGCTGTGGTCTGCAGGCTGCAGGAGTAAATATGTTGGCTTCCAGGGGAGGATCCGGTTTGCCAGGAAGCCAATATCCATCATTGGTAAGTTTTGAACTCTTTTGCAACCCTTCTGCTTGTTGTAAATAAAAATGTCCACTTCTGCAGGGGCCTTATTGCAGTTCTGAGCTATGCCTACCCCTCAAACATTTATCTGCTTTGTGATTTCTCTTCTTTTGGGTTGCTAGAAAACTTAAAATATGTTTAAGGCAGACATCAGCCTTAGAAATGCAGGACTGTAAAGTGAAGAAATGACTAAACCTTGGGTAATTGCAGGAAATTGACACGATTTTGAACGCAAAATCCTTCCTTGGGTACAAAGAAATTCTTCATCTTCTTCAAGAGCTGGTCTATTTTTGTGATGTAACCATGAGATCCATAAGGAATAATTTTTACTCCTCATTGTGTTCTTGATTTCTCTTTCGATTAATAAGTGCTTCTTAGGTTGGTATATTAGAGAAAGTGATAGTTTCACTGAACTGTGATATCAAGGGGTTCTCTCTGCTGGTATTTCAGTACTACCACAGCAAATATTCATGTTGGTATTGGAGCCCCTGGGGAAGACACTGTGGATTTTGTTAATAAAAGCTAAGAATGGCTATAGCTGGTTGTGCACTCAGTGTCAGCACTTCATTTAACCTTTGAAATTCCTCTAAGAATATAATACATTGGAAATCAAGATTTGCTTTTCCACATCAAATGCAGATGGAACAATGTCTGCACTGACAGAACAAGTAAACTTGGGAAATACCTTTGCTGGGAATGATTGAATCCTACTGACTTATCCTATTGTTTTCAAATTAACATGAATAAAATAAAAACCCTGGAAAAAGAAATTAAAATATTAGAACAGAAAGTAAAACATAATGCATTCATTTTATTTCTTCATTAATACGAAAGTCTTTATTCTAAATTTTAAAAAAATCCACTAAAATTTCTTTGACAGCAGAGAGATTTCTTCTATGGGATTTTGTTCCCTCTAAAATTTGGGTTAGTTTGTAGCAAGTTCAACATGGAAAATCCCAGGATGAGGCAGAAGGAGTATTCTGGGACACACAGGCTCACTAAAAAGATGAGAAGTGGATTATGATGAAAAGGTCTGGGAGAGGAACATTTAAAGAGACTGACAAGCAACCAGGAGCTTGAAGGGAAATCAGCAGGGACTGGAAATATGTGGTATTGAAAGGTGTCAGAGAAAGGGCAAGATATGCTGTAAAATATCTAAGCTGTAAAATAGGATCTAAGCTGTAAAATAAGGCTGTTTGGACCAGTAAATCTGGATTAATAAGGGAAATCTAAGCACTGGAAACTGGGATGAAAATTAGGAACAGAGGAGAAGCAGAACTAGAACAGGTTTGGAGAAAAAGAAAGAAAGAAATATCTATACCACAAAGAACACTTTCAGAAAAGAAGAAAGTGCAAATGAAAAAAATCTCTTTTACTCTCACTATGTGAACTCATTTTCTAAGCATCAGTCTTTTCCACCTTTAGGGCCTGTCTTCAGATGGAGATGTCTCTGTCTGACAATTTAGTAAAGGCATGATGCATCATTTGCTAAAGGGCAAAGATCTGTGTTATGATGTGATGGCAAGAAAACCCACCCTAAATTCCAGTGTTTACAAATATATGTTCACACACACACATGATAAAGGAATAACATGAAAAAATTTGCAGTCAGGCATTGAAAAGCCAAGATTAATCCCAAACGGAAGCTCTTTCTATAGACTCATCCTTCTCTTTATTAATTTTCATTTTCATTTTAATTTTCATTTTCATTCGTGTACAATTAGTGTACTATAGTATTCAAACTAACTGTGTGCTTTCCCTTGAGGAGAAATCCAGGTTTTACAGCAAAAATCAGACTGATACTGGAAATTATTCAACTCAGAGAGTGAATGATGCTGTTGGTTATAGAACTTCTGCAGTACTTGTTGCAGCAACTACATGGTTGTGAATGAGGCAGGAGAATGTTTAAAAGGAGAGGGAAAAACAAGTTAACCTTGCAAAAGGAAACTGTTGTTGCTGCTCAGGTTGGATTCCATCCTGCCTCTTGCTCAGACATCCCATGGCAAGTTGGTTAAAATCAGTTTTCACACGTGGGCTTTATTTTCTGGATGTCCAAAGGAAGACTTTGAAGTTGGGTTGCAGAGGTTCTGAGCCCTCACAGCTGCAAGTGAAGTCAGCAGGGCTGGAGTTTTGAAGTGCTGCGTAATGTTAAGTGCTCAGAAGAATAAAGTGCTGCCTGTTCCTAACTGGCAAAGGAAGGTTTACCGAAGTTTTACATCGTTCTGCCTCCATTTGCTACCCATTTACAATACTCTCCTTTAATTTTTGGTTAGCATTTGAAAGGGAAGCATTTAGATGCTCTAAAGAGGTTCACCACAGAAATGCCTGTAAGGAAATTAAAAAAAAAGTCTTCTCAGACTAATGTTACAGCAAGGTTCAATAATTAAAAGAAATGGACATGCTCACTGAACTGGGACGAGGAAAAATAAGGGATGTTGTCTCAATTGTAAACTCAATCTATCATTTGCATTGTATAAAGCTGGAACTGTGTAAACTGCAAAGTTGTGGAAACAAAACAAAACAAAACAAGAACTCTGGAAACAATTATTTTTTCATACAAATAAAGACAGTATCACAAAGTAAACTAACAATTCTAATTTATTTTAGCCAGCCTTTCTTCCGACAGTTCCATTAGGTTAGAAAGCTTGGCTTCACAGCTTTGATACAGTTTTCAAACTAAGTGTATATGTATGCATAATACTTCATGGATTTCATTATTGTGTGGTGAAAACCCTTGCATTTCCTCTTGGATCAGAAGCCTTGAGCCAAAATTTGGGTTCATTTCTAGGGTGCACAAATGCCTTTGCATTTTTTGTGGCAAGCAGCCTAATCCATGAGGTTCTTTGAAAGGTCTGTTACTGAATTCATCCTGGAAGAAACTGTAGCCATGCGGGTTTTGATGTGAAACTATTACATAGACTTAACATGCCCACTAAATTTCAGCTAACCATTTCATTTTTGTGGTGCTTTCCTTTGCCTGTATTTGTTGGTTTTTTTTCAGTGCTGAGATAAAAAACAAAACAAAACAAAACAAAACAAAAAAAACAACCCAGAACCCCCCCCCAAAAAAACCCCAAAAACCAAATTAATGCATTCTTTCTTCTTTTGTTTATTTGTTTGTTTGTTTGTTTTTTAACAGATCTGATTGTGGTAGTAGCCTCAATTATTGTTCTGAGCATAGGATCTAATGGGCAGGTGTTTGCCACCTCTGCAATAAGGTAGGTTCTGCTGTCACTGCAGCTCTTCACTGCCACAGAGGTGTGTATCTGATTGACTAATTCCCAGTTTAACTGTGTATCTGATGGCCTAATTTCCAATTTAACTGCATGTCTGATATTCCTAACACAGGGAAAATTACTCCATTGAAGCACTGGGGGACTGGATGCTGTTGTGCTTGGTGACCGGTTGGGAAATCAGTGCAGGAACAAGGCAAATGAAAAATGGTGGGAATGCTGAAGCCAAGTGGAAAAAATGAAACATTGTGTCCTATTTAAAACATCAAACAACTGTCTCTCTGAGACAAGGGAGAATTACAGAGTGTGGGTTTATTTAAGAAGTAATCCAGACAGTGCTTAACTCGGTGCTTTTTGAGTATGAGTAATTACTTTGTTTAAAGAGTAATTATGCTTTGGTGGATTTGTTTGGCACGAGTAACTCACACTGTACATGAAGCAGAAACATTTGATGCACACAGTGTTTGTTCAGCTTGCATCAAGTACTGCAGGCTTGTTTTGGGAGGTGAAGTGAGTAAACAGAAGAATGATAAGCAGTAAGGTGTATTTCCTACTCCTAACCCAGCTTCCAAGATGTGCTGCATGTTTTGTCACAAGCTTCCCAGTGCAGTGGGATAACTGGGAAGTGGGAATGTCCAGTACTGTTTAAACTGTCCAACTGTGCAGGCAGACACTGGGGAGAACTACATGTACGAAGTGTTTTAAAGGTAATTCTTACATTAGAACATTCATCCTTCCCTGATGGTAAAGACTCCACCCAGGCAGCAGGAATATCAGCTCCTATAGGAAAAGAGGAAGGTGCATGAGGAAATTCCAAGGGTTGGGTTTTTTAAATTTAACTAGAAGCATAGGAATGACTTCAATGAAAAGGCCCTCTGTGTTTATGTGGGAGCCCAGTGGGTTTTGGGCTCAGTGAAGCCTTTCCCAGTGCTGAGCTCACAGTCACTGTCCTACACCTCAGAATGCTCTCTGAACCCTAACCCACATCCCTGCAGTGTTATCATTGCTCCACTAAAAGCCAGCAGGGTCAGGCAACTCTGAATTAAAAATCAAAGCCTATCTCCACAAAAAAAATCTTCTCGAAGATTGCTAAAAAGAGCCAAAAATACTTTTAGTGAAAAATTTTCAGGTAGATGAATTCAGTGTTCATCCTTTGCAGCTTTTCACTGCTTTGTTTCAGGGATAAGACAGTAAGATGACTGTAGGCAAACAAAATTCATTGTCAAAAGAGCAACTACATGAAATATTTCCATGGAATAAAACTATGCTGAAGAACCATATTGATAATTACTTTTATTTAGTTGAAAATATTTGGAGCATATGATTGATTTAGTTATTCCCTAAAAACACATAGGACTCTATCTATTTCTAATGATATCGGAGATATTTCAGTAACTCACACAACAAGGATTTCAGTAATGCCATGTTTGATTCATATTCTGCTTTTGGCAAATAGAGAAAAAGCTTTGCTCACATTTGTGTTAGCAAAGCATGAAGTTTCCCTTGGAAAGAAGGCATTTAAAGTTTGGAATCATAGAAATTATATCAGGTTTCTCCTGATTTGGTTTGTTTTCCCATTAAATAATTGTTTTCATAGTCAATATTTCTGAATAAATTTGACCATAATGAAATGTGATCTAAATACAGAGATGCCTCAAGCCTGCAATGCCACCCCAGGCAGGGGCAGTGCTATCACAGTTCTTGAGCATAGCAGTGTATTAGTGGACATAATCAGTGGTGGGTGGATAAGGCAGTATTGTCCTCAAGCATTTTTATGTGTTTATTGCATTTATTTTAATGCTTCACTTTCCTTTCAGGGGGATTCGCTTTCTCCAGATCCTTCGGATGCTCCATGTTGACCGCCAGGGAGGCACCTGGAGACTCCTGGGGTCAGTGGTCTTCATCCATCGACAGGTACCCAGCCTTGAAACATCCCCTAAAATTCATTGGCTCCAGTGAATTCTCTCTGTGGGCTTCAAGTAATGGTCTGCTGTCTTGGTTTGAAAAGACAGGCGTCTGCTAAGGAAGGTGGGAGCCTCTCTTGAAATGGAAAATGTAAACCCCCTCCCTTCTGAATTATTTTAAGTTTGAAATCAAGGGGCTCTCAGGCAAAGATACGGGATTAGGAATAACAGTTCTTTACTAGGAAAAATAAAATACAAATGCAATAATACAAACAACAACAACAAAAAACACTGACAGAGTCAGAATACAACCTGACACCCTGTTGGTCAGGGTGGTGGCACAGTCCCATTAAATGGTGGCTGCAGCCCTCCTGCAGTGCCAGGTGTGGTTCTGTTGGAACAGTGATGCTCTAGAAGGGTGGAGTTTTCCTCTGAAGGTCCTGTGGTGGTGTAGATGGGTCTGGTCTTCCTCTGGGAATCCAGTGGAGAAGAAACCTCCTCCTCTTGGAATCCAGTGGGAAAAAGGCTGTTCTCATGCTCCAAATGTCAGATTATATCCAGGTAGAAATGCTTGGCTCCTCCCCCTGGGTGGAGCATCTCACAATGGGATGATGGAATTTTATCAGTCATGCAGTGAGACTCAATGACTCATTAACAGAAGATATTTCCTTGAGGAAGAATTGGTTTCTGGAGGAGATAAAGAATTAACAGAAGATAACTGCCGCACCTCTAACAGGTAGCAAATAGAATACACACATATCTTACAACCCAACTAGTTTAAATGAAATGTTATATTGCAAGAAAAAAAAAACTTTAAAAATCCATCATGTGTTTCTTCCTCCTTTTAAAATGGGAAGCTGTTTTTGCTATTCAGGGCAGTGGCTAACAGGGTATAAACACCAGTGTTGGGGTTTATTGATTAACTGTTGTACTCTTTGGTGTTATTCCTCAATGTAATTTCTTAAATGCAGTTTTGTGGGCTGCCTTTCATGTGGCAAGTAATCTCTAGTTTCTCTGCAGAAGATATGTTCCTAGCTTGGTTTTCCTGGGGAAAACCAAACACTAATGGGAAAGCCTTGCTAGAAGAAGTCAATTATTCAAATATTTCTGTTGTGTTCACCTTGAATACGAAGTTTTCTAATTCATTCTGTAAATTAAAAAAATGAACTATATTATGATGCCGTGTAAGAAAAGTTACTTTTTCAAGGGTGTGGTGACAGAGGCAAACCTGGCTATAAATAGGTGCATGTCTGTTAAAGCTTTGAAATAATTTTTCTGTATGAAAACTCATTAAGCAGGAAGAGTTTAAAAGTTTTTCTGCAAATTTAAGAATATTTTTAATTGAACTTTTTTTTTTGAGTGTTCATGGAATCTCTTGATGATTAGCTTTATTAATATAATGGAAAATTATATAATTAGCCTTGAAGTCTTGCATCTCTGTGGAGGGCTAATACTCTGCTATTAATCTCCACATCCCACTTGTTAGTGTGGCTAACTTGTTTTTATGAGTGTAGATTTGTTCTCCACATACTGACAAACAGTTACAAATTTCCATGCAGACCTTTTTTAATTTTCTATTTAGAAAGCTGTTTTTCTGGGACAGAGAATGCACTGAACTTAATCCAAGCCAATAATTTAATACTAAAAGAAAATTTTCTTCCTTTTATTTTTTTCCCCCAGTACAGTAGGAACTTTTATGTCACGGTGGTTGTGCAGAAGTGATGCGCACCAAAGTGCTGTGGAATAAAGCCTCCTTTTATACTGTACAACAGGATGACTTTTAATGCTCCAAGTCTGTGTGGTCTCCATTTATTATGCTTGCATTTCCTGGGTATCTTGCTAGGGCAGAGCTGATATCCAAATAACTTGATATCCAAAAAAATATTTGGGAACATTTTTTTCCTGTGGGTGTTCAGAGTTTTAGTCAAGAATCAGGAAATACTCTCTCGAAAACACAACACTTAAATCTTATGTGTCACAAGCATAAGAAAGTTCAATGGTTTAAAAGGGGAAAAAAAAATTCTTGGAAAATAAATTTATGAGTAAACACACCTGAAGTTCTGCTTATCCAAAGAAGTGATTATGGTGATAAATAAAACTCCACAGATCTGTAGTACTTATCCAAGCAGATCACCCACTAACACATTAAGAAAAAAAAATACCAAGCACACAGTTCTGTATTGACATTGGACAAGTGTAGCTGAAACCCTAACACGGTACCAAACGGAAGGAAAAATGGAACCTTTATTCCTGTCCAGCCTCTGAAAGAAATTTTTGTTTAAAAATTAAAAAAAAAAACAAAACCAAAACAAAAACACCTCAGCTGCTTTTTCTTCCAGGCAGAGTACAAAGTTCTCATCTATTTTTGGTGTTTTTTGCATTTGATAGTCTTTCAGAAAACATGGGCCCCTAAACCCTTAAGCAATGTGAGAAAATGAATTCACATCTTGGTGCCCAGTGAAAATAGCAAGCACTTGTACCTCCCTGGGCCCTGAAGAGCTTAGTAAAGTTGTCACCAGTGATTTCCATGTGTTTTGGAATTTTACATATAGCTCAATTAGCTCACTCAGGCCTGGTTTGGCTAGGATGCTCTTCTGTTTTCAGCAGGTTGAGCTTATATACCAGCATTTCTTGCCAAAGGCAGCAAAACATGAGTCAATATCACATGTGGTGGTGGAAAGCCATGGAGAAATGGCTGAGGCTTGCTGAAAAGCCAAGTTAGCCACTCAAGCTCCAGCTTGTGAGCCTCTAGGTTGGTTTTGCTCCTTCCTCACCTTGTTTTGTGAGGACTTGCACTGCTCTCAGAACAGGAGGGATTCTTATATTTTTTCCAAGTCTTGAACTTTGTATTGTGTGGTCCTTATTTTAAACGAAAATGGAGATATAGCTGAGTTTAAAAAATGTGCTGACTCAACTCTCTCAGTATTCAAATCTACCTTTGTGCATTTTTTGTTCTTACTGTTTCCTGTGTGTGTGAATCTGAAAGTCTCTGCTGCAAAGAGCCATTTGTTTTAGGCAGCACTCTTTATTCTTAAGCTCTTAGCTAATAAAACCCAAATCCAAGTCAATATTTTAGCTGTTTTACTGGAGGCAAATGTCAAACCTGAAGTATAACATATTAATTTTTCTATTGCGATGTAAAAGCCCCACAGATATTTGCAACATTTTACAATGATGTATATACATATGTATATAGGATGAAAACCTCATACACTTGTTTGTTTTCTCTCTCAATAGGAACTTATAACCACTCTGTACATTGGATTCTTGGGATTAATTTTCTCATCCTACTTTGTTTATCTTGCTGAGAAGGATGCAGTTGATGAGGATGGAAAGACAGGTTTCTCCAGCTATGCTGATGCCCTTTGGTGGGGTGTGGTAAGTCCTCACCAATAAAACGTGTGTGCAAACAGGGCCCAAGGTTTTCTGTTCAAATTGTGATCTTTTCAGGAAAACCTGGCATTTCTTTCTTTGCAGAATGTATTTCTGTAGGGAAGATTGACAACCTCCTCAGAGGGATACAAGCAAGAATATAAGAAATACAATTGAATTATTGGGGTATTAAATTTTATTGGTAAAGTAGGTCAGCAGGTTCTTAGCAGAGGACACCGAATGCTTACAGATATGAAAAGTAAAAATCATTTCAAAAAGTAAACACATCTCAAAAAAAGTAAACAATCTCCTTCAAAACCTGTATCACTTCCTTTAAGCTCTACTTAGTTATCTCAAAAGGTGCATAACTTAAAAACCTATTCTATATGTGAAAGTAGGGTTAATGACCCTACTTTTTTTCTTTATCTTTTTGTGTAAAACTCACTCTCTCAGTAATAATTCAGACTTTGATGCATGTTGTAGGTTCCTGTTTTTTGGTTTTTATCTTTAACTTATGTGGGGGGATAGAATGTAAGAAAATAGAGATAGTGCAGAAAAACACAGTCTCACCCCTGAGAAGTTGCAGCTGTGCTAATTACCAAAGATTAGTATGACCTGCCCTTAATGGGCCACAGGTGTGTCCAATAAGGATGACTGCTATAAAAGAGTGTGTTAGTGGGTAGAGAAGAGAGTTGGAGTTTGTTGGTCATATGGAAGAGGGGGGTTATTGCTGTGTGGAGTTGCCCATGAGCAATCACCAAAAAGGTATGGAAGATTTACAAACTTAGATGCTGTGTAAGTCGCTACTTCAATGAGGTACACAGAATTATAGACTATATTACATGTAGCCTGAGTCACCACTCTGTAAGTGGTTCACTATAAAAATATTTTAAATATTAATTTCCTGTCACTAGGTTATCAAGTATTCATTTAATCTGCAGAGTATCACCTATGACTCTGCTAAACAGTAAAAACCCAGAAGAATTGAGTAAAAAAAAGAATTCACCCAATGGCCAGATGGACCTGATGATCTAAGGTGCTGGGAATCAATGAAAGCATGAAGCAAGCCATAAAGCTTTCACTTGTTAAAGTCCTAGTGGGCATGGGATAAAATTTTAAGAATATGAAACCTCATGGTTATAGCTGTTAAGCAACCTGTAGCTAGAGGAGGAAAAGTATGTGTATCTCAGAGGTAGAGATGGTGCTGTATTTTAAAAGAAAAACAATAAAGGTATAAATGGAAGATACCCAAGACTGGAATTGGAAGATGCCAAGCTTTACAAGAACAAACTAGTACTCTTATTCTCACTTATTCTTCCATTATTTTTGCAGTTCACCTCAAACACCAGTGAATTGCTTTCAGCATCCAGTTCTATCCATGTATATTTGTGCACAAGTTATTTCTGCAAGTGAAAAAAATTCCATGTGGGCCCAGTGTACTCTTCCTACCTTTCCTTGTTTCTTTTTTTAGTGGTTTATTTTTTTTTTTAATTCTAGTTTTCCTGTGTTGTTTATTAGTTGCATTGAATATTTAGGTATGAATTAGAAATACTTCTAATCACTATATACTATTACATGGATATGAGTAAAGAGTAAAAAAATTAAGGTTAAAAAAGTCAGAGTGTGTTTCTACAGCAGTGTTTTGGACTTTGGGAATTTAAAAGGAGTTGTGAAGACCACCAGAGAAGTTTAAAATGCATGGTATCTTGTTTACATATATGACTTCGGATCTGTGTTCCAAAGTGTGTGGATGAGAGATGCAGAGTTCAGTGGGTTTTGTGATTTTCCAAAACTTTACTTGCTTTGTGTAGCAGCAAGATAAAAATCAGCTCCTCTTTCTCTGGCCATGGGGGGAACACTGTTCAAATTGTTGTTCAAGCTTTTCAGGCATCCAGGCCTCCTCAGCATTTGGTGAGTCACGGTGCAGGTGCAGTTCACAGCTGGGAACAGGAACAAAGGACAAAGTGAATCAGTTTCTTTTTCTTTTCAAATTTCCTGGAACACAGAAACACAGATGTGGAGTTATTAGGGAGTGAAATTTGATTTTCGCTTCTGCCTTTCAAAACTGAACCATTGGAAAAAAAAAATCTTGGTATGAAGTATTTGAAAGTCTTACATGTCTGACAAAACCACAGAGTATATTATGGGGAATATTTTGCTTTGAGGAGAAAGTGCAAGCTTGCTGAACTTGATACAAATGACCTGAAAGGTTTAAATACAGGGCAAAGAGAAAATAAGGAATGAATGAGAGTTGGAATTAATTGCTAACTACCTTCACCTGCTTCAGTTAAAGGCAAGGGTTTTTCCTCCTAGATTTGGCAGGCAGGCAAACAGGTCTGCAAAGACATATCAAAGGCTTGTGTTTCACATGGAGCCATTCTCAGCAGTTGTAGCATGTAGGGCATGTGTAAAAGCACTTCCAACAGCATGGTCAGCCTGCCACAATTGCAACCTGAGTCACAGCATTTGCCCTATCCCTTTTGGGTATTTTTTCCTTTCCTTGAGGAAAGAAGAGCACATAGGAGGCTTCTCTTCTGCTGGCCCTCCCTGCTTGCTTCTTGTTGCAAGCTCAGCTATTCTGTACCACTGGATTGGAGCTGAATACTTGCTCCAGGAATTGGTGTTAACTGGCACAGCACTTGGGATCAACTGCTCAGAATTTCCAGCAGTAAATTTCCATGCCAGAGGTAACCGTCGGAATCCCTTTATGTTTAGTGTGGGTTTTTTGAGGTGTGCGGTTCTGACTCCTCACACCTGAGGACACCTGCCTGTCTTGAAGCATCTGAGCAGCCCTGTTGATTTCTACTAAATCAGAGTTCTTCCCTTTTTGAGGTACACATGTGTATTTTCAGAGCCTGTGTGCACAGCTGGAATGGGCCACCATAAATCCCTGTCACAAGAGGTGTCATTTTCCAGAGCCTAACATTATCTGCTCAGAAATACTGATAACTTTGGGCTGTACAAGTAGAAAAAAAAAATTCTGCTGTGATTAAGAAAGCCAGAGAATTACATTATTTATCATCCTTTCCATGTATTCAATGTGGTAATTAAATTACCAACAAGGAACTGGGGAAAAACTTCCTGAGACATGTTCAGGCACCTGCAGGAATCTGCCAGCCAAGTGCCTGCTGTGGAGGTGGAAAATTCATCTTTTCTGTGGTTACAGCTTTCATGCTCTCTTCCATAGTAAAATTAAGGCAGCTCAGCATTACTGTAGTTTGGTTTGAAGTCCTGGCTGCTGGAGAATTTACTGAAAAAACCAAGCAAAACCTCCCCAGAAAAACTAAACCACCCTCAAAAAACCAAGAAGCCTTTCATAAGAAAAAAAGAGGGGAAAATAAAGGGAAAACCACTGACTTTGAAGGGTCACCTGGGTACAATGAGGAGCTGAAGTGCTGTTAAAGAAACAGCTTTAACTTCCTCCACATGCTGCATTTCAAAGTTGAATTTTGGGGGGGTCTTATTTAATTTTGGGGACTGGCAAACTCATTGTCCTGCTGCTGGTAGCACACAGCACCTGAGCCACTTGACCAGCCCCATTAAATCTGGACAAACACCTGGCAAGGCAGAGCTCCTGCTGAGAGCAGCTTGCAGTTCAAAAAAACCGATATTCATTCAAGGATATAGCTACTACAAAGTGGTCTTCATCAAGGAGAGAATTTATGATGAATAAACACAAATGTAACTGTTTTTTGGAACTTGGAAAAACTGAGTTTGGTAGTAGTTGCTAGTTTTTTCCCTGCAAATCTTTCTTTCAGCTTTGAGAGTAGGAGGAAACATATTCTTCCCATGCCTTTATTGCTTGATAGTTTCTTCTGAGAAGACTATTTTTGCATAACATTAAGCATTTGTCAGCAAATTTTTCCATAAAAGGCAGCCTCTTTATACTCAGTGCAAATTTACGTATTCTTTTAAGTCTGTTTTGGCTGTGTTTCTGCTACCATTCAAGGCAAAGTGAAGGGAGGGGGACTAGGTTAGGGGCTGGTACATCCAAATAAAAGTACATTTTTTTTCTATTTACAGCTCTCCTCAGTGGGGTTAGTATTGATGGCAGAGCTCCTCTGTTCCTCACCAGAAGCTTTTTACTTCTCAGGGATCCAAGCCATGTTTCTCACACCATTTTATAGCAGCATCAGAGCTCTGAGGATGTTGAAAACCCCACACCCCCATGGGCCAGGGTTTTTGTTTTAGACCATGGTCTCTGTCCCATTCAGGTCCTCCTGCCTCTGGGGCTTTTCAGGGCTGGCCTGCCACCTCTGAAGCAAGTCCCTACAGGCCCCAGACCTGAGGGCACTGATTGACCTAATGAGCCTGACCAGCATGACCCTGCTGGTGATGCTCCACACACCATTTCAGCAATATTTCAATATTTCAGCACAGGAGAGATTGTCTGTAACTCAACTGCAGCTGTGTCGAGGTTTGGGTTCCCTCAATCCTGATTTCCACCCATGAAATGATGCCCTGCTCTTGTTTCCTCCCTGTGGGCTCATGTGCTGGCCACTTGATCCTAATCCTGACCTGTGTCTTGCTGTCAGACCTGCATTATAATCCAGACTCTGGGGTGGACCTGGCTGCAGTTTCTACTTCTGTTTTGCTTGAAAGGTCCTGGACTGGAGTGGTGCTGCCCTGCTGGCTCTGTTGTCTCCTTCTCTCTGGCCCTGATAAGCAGTATCAGATCCAAGTTTAAGCACCTTGTGGCTTAAAAACATTTTTTAGTGGCCAGGTATTGTTGCAAATTGGGCCCAGCCCGGGAATAATGTGCTCTGACTCCGTGATTTCAGAAGGCTGAGCAAATGTTTTATTAAGCTATATTATATATAATATATATGTATATAATAATATATTACATATAGTTGTGTATAATGTATGCATATAATTATATTGCTATATATATGTATATAACTATATACATTATATATAGTTATATATGTATATATATAATATATAACTATATATAATATATAACTATATATAATATATAACTATAATATATTTTTTATATAATATATATTTAATATAATTATATACACATGTAATATATATAATTATATACATTATGTAGTTATAGATAATGTCTATAATTATATACATTATATATAATATATATTATATGCTTTATTAAGCTATATTATAGTACATTAATACTATGCTATACTAAAGAAAAACCTGTGACTGTCTTCAGACAGTCATGACACAGCTTTGACCTAATTGGTCAATCAATCCAAACAAACATCACAGGTGTCCAATTAACAAATCACTTTGGGTAAATAATCTCCATAACACATTCCACATGTGCCAAACAACAGGAGCAGCAAGTAGAGATAAGAACTGTTTTCTCTTCTTCTCTGAGCTTCTCTCTGCCCTCCCCTGGAAAAAATCTGGGAGAGAGAATTATGTCTCTCTCTGTTCAGAGAATGTTAATATCACAGCCAGGTCTTGTGTTTGTGGAGGAGGAGGAAAGAAAGCTGAGCACAGGCCTGAGCTCTGTTCAGGTCTAGTTCTACTGGCAGGCAGACTTTGGGAGATAACACATCCTGGAATGGTTGTGTGTTCCTCCTCTTGCTGTGAGGATTCAGTTGGGATGGGTTAGTTCTGTCCTTTTTCCATCCTCTCAGCATGGTTTCCTTATCCCCAAATCCACACACTTGGTTCACACCTGTCTCCTGATACTTCATTAATTACTTTCCCCTTCCATTTTTTTTTTTTCTCATGATTTTTGGAGAAAAAAAAGTGCACTAAAACAGATGTTTCTTCCTGGTGTAGGTAACAGTCACAACAATTGGCTATGGAGATAAAGTTCCCCAGACATGGATTGGAAAGACAATAGCTTCCTGCTTCTCAGTGTTTGCCATCTCCTTCTTTGCCCTGCCAGCTGTAAGTGGAACTTGAATCTCTTCATTACAGGTGTGTGAATGCCTCTGGCTCCTGTAACCTCTGGATCACAGCAATAAACATGTGCTGTTTATTCAAGCTACCCAATTCTGCTGTTGATCTGCTCAATTTCAGATTTGTTGGAATAAATAGAACTCTGACAGTGCAGACATTTGAAAATTCATTTTATAAAGTCTTTTATTAAATGTCTGTTTATTCCAGGTGCGAAGTACTTTATTTAGGTATGTGAAGCTATATACATTTCTGAATAGTAATTTCGTTATTTTGTTAGGGTATTCTGGGGTCTGGTTTTGCCCTGAAAGTACAGCAGAAGCAACGTCAGAAGCATTTCAATAGACAAATCCCAGCTGCAGCTTCCCTAATTCAGGTAAGGCCACAATAGTAAAATACTAAAATAGTTTATTGGAGAGAGAGTATGGCCTGGAAGTTCAAGTGCAAAGAATCATCATTTCTAAATTTATTATGGATCTATAACTTGTGTTTAGCCACTTTGCCATTTTGATCCAGATCAGTAAGTAGAGAAAATGAGATAATTGCCTCTCCCTTTCTGGAAGCTGTGCAATAGCTGATATTCACAGGCATAGTGACACTAACTGGATGCAGTGAGTATATGTAGCAAAATACTAAAAGAAAAAAAAAAAATCTTCTCTATAATAAGTTCCTTTTCATGTTCTTTTAGGACCTGTGCATCTGCCAAATCCTGATGTGATGAATGTACAAACACATTAAAAAAACCACACCTGTTTTTAGAAAAATCTCCCAGTGTAACATTCCATATGATAATATAAAGAATTAAGTAGCAGAGTGCACAAACATTCATTGTGGCACAGTGGCAGAAAAAAGAAAACACAGCATTCAGTGGGGGATTCACTTTAATGGAGATGGAGTTTGATTTACTTGGGGTTCTTTTTGCTGTGGGTAGAATTTGATCCCAGCTCATGGGGGGAGCACACTGAAGATCTCTGTGTGATGTGTGTCCTGGAGCAAATTGCATCCACCATGCTTGTACTTTATCAGGAGTGGTGTTTACCTGAGGGCTTTGTTGTCAGTTGGATGTTTTACAAAATTTTCCATGCAGGATCCCAGTGGCTGCTCCTGCACTGAGGTTCTTTGGGTACCTTTTCAGACCCTGTGGCGCTGCTATGCAGCAGAGAAATCCTGCACCTCCACGGCCACCTGGAAGATCTATGTGACAGCTCCCGTGCAGAATCCCAAAAAGTCTCCAGCGCCACCTAGTCCCGGCCTGAGAAAACAGGTGACAGCACTGGCAGGGCTGCCTCTCTGTTTGCTTTTCATTTTAAATTATAATTAACTTGCCAAAAACTTTGTGAAGGGCCTGAGCTGTTTGGACACCTGAAATACGTTTATTTTCCTTGTACCACAGCTCGATTCGTTTTGTTTTCCTTAAAGTATTTTAAAGCAAAAAATATCTTCTAACTGAATTTGCCTTGTTGGTCAGACAGGTACCCACTCTCCATTGTTTTATCCCCTTTGGAGTCTCCTACTTTCTAAAAGCACAAGGCAATGGTGCCACTTTCCCATTCTGCATTCATTTTTCAAGGTAGTTCATATCAGAAGAAGGAGCAAGCCAGTTTAAAAATTTATCTTCAGGCTTAACATGAGGCTGAGAGCAGTTTTAGAAGTATTTTGATGCATGTCACTGCATCCACACTAATACCTATTTCTACTATTTTCCCCCATCTAATTTTGAACGTGCATTTGTTTAACTGCTGCAGAGCTGAGCAGAATAAGGAATTCCAAAAGTCTGAATGCAGACCATAACAAAGTAAGAATTGGCTTAACTTTAGATCCAGTAGCTTTGTCCCATATATGAATATCTTGACCCTGCATCTCTTTCTGTTGTTCCAAAACTTCATTTTTCATTTTAAAGTACCAGTTATAGTGTGTTTATTAGGCTGTCTTTAGGCTTCTAAAATCAGGAGAACTGTTTGGAGGCAGGAGGAAGCATTTCTCCTCTTCTGATGTGCCTAATTAAATTTTGCCTTTTTGGAAAAAGGTGAAGTTTTCTTTAGTTGACTATGCTGCACAGGGCCTAGTTCATAGTTCCAAGTCTAGGGTAATGTTGAATTTAAGCTTCAGAAAGATATTCCTGACAAGGTGATATATGCTGAAGTCATTAGAATTTTCTATGCCTTGAGTTTTGGTCGCAATTTGAGAAATTTTACTAATGGCCTGATTTTTCAGAATGTTCTAGCTGCCCTCTGAGAATCAATTTCTTACCAAGCTTTAGTTCATAATTCAGAATCAGACGCTTTAAAACCATAAACAAAGGTTGACAGCATCTTCTGAGACCATTCCATTCCTCCTCTCACAGGCCAGAAGATACAGGAGAAAAGGGAAGCTGGGATGTGGGAATGGCTCTGCACCTGTAATAAACCCAGGAGAAAATTTCTTGTCTGTTCCTCAGATCACTTATGATCACATTGATGAGCAAGAGGACAAAAAGGACGTGTCCTTCTACATTGGTGAACCCAAAGGTAACTTACTTATGCTCAGTTTATCATTTCTCAAGAGACAAAGGTAAAAGGAGTTGATGTGATCAAGGGAAGAGTTCTACGAAAAAACAATTCTAAGCTAATCAGTAAATCAAAATGTCTTCAATCAAGGATGGTTGCATAACAAAAATAGGGAGACACAAATGAAAGGAAGCCTTTATTTATATGGTGTGAATATCAAAAGAGCTTTCTTTATTCACCATCAATTAAGATTCATTGTTCATTCTTGTTTTTTGAAGAATTTCAGAAGTGGATGGGAAGCTTCCTCAGGTCTATCCCACCCTTTAACTTTACCTCCTTTTATCTCCTTCTGAAAAAAGGAAAGATAAACCAGGAAAAATATTTCTGCTTTTTTTACAGCCCCCTCTTAAACATTGTGCAAATTTTGATAAGAAAAAAATAACTATTTTTATGCCCACATGGACTAAGATATTTTGATAAGTGGGTTTCTTTTTCTCTTCTTTAATTTAAAATATTGTGTTTATATAAGCAATGGTTATATTTCAATATGGAAGCTGTCTGAATTTCACTGCTGAGGTAACATACTTGCTTTGTCTGTAAAATCCTTTCTTTAAAATTAAGTTTGTAATGGAAATATGAATGTTATAATGTCACTAAAGCTGTGTTCTCTCAATGGTCATAGTTAATCTGAGCCAAGCTCTGTGCCATAGGAAAGAGAGGGATGAGACGAGCCTGTATCTGTTTCTGCCTGACAGGAAAACAAAAGAATTTTCCCCACTTTTTCTGAAAATATTTTCTTCTTGTTCTTTTTCTATAGCTGGTTGAATTTATTCTTATTCTGAGAGACAGCTATGCATATTATTCCCTTTCTAATTAAACTTGGTCTATTTTTCGTTTTCTTTCACCTTTTGCCTTAGCCAGTGTCAGGGTTAAATCACACTCAATTTGGTTTTCCTGATTCATTCCTTCTGTTGCAAAGCTTCCAGGAATGTAGCTGGCAAACTGAATTTCTCAATTGACTGAACATTCTTGACACCTCTCAAAAGTTTAGGCCTGATTTCTCTCAGTGAAGTTCTCCTTGCCAGAATTAATAGATTTCTATTCCTGGGGAGTGGAAGTACTAGGCTCCAAGCCTGTAAATGGAGCATTTTTTTCCTGTCAAAAAAGCTGAAAGCAGAAAAGGCAGAGAGGCTCATCATTCAAAAAAGGTAATTGAAAGGGGCCATGCCAGCTTTTATTTGAGTGTTGCTGTAGTGGAATATTTTATTCATTGCTGGTGGGGGCTGGATATTTTGCAGATGATGGCAAACTGCAAGGTTAAATCAGATCCCTTTTCTAGATCTAGAGGAGCAGAGCTGCTGCCCCTAAACCATCCCTCTTTGCTGCCCCAAACCAGCTCTTTGATGCTCTGCTCAGGTGTGAGAGAGGGATTGTAGGAAAGCCTAAATTAAATGCCTGTCAGGAGCAGGACACACAGTAACAGTCCCACTGATAAAATTCCTTGTTTGGGGCAGAAATAGATAGAAATGTAATTCAAGTATCCTTGAAAAAGGAGATATTTGCCTTAATTCAGCAGTGGCATTATGTGAACACACCTTTTCTCCTGGAAATATAAAATTTTCCTAATTTTTCATGTATCCACATCCACCCATCTTACTCTTGGCTTGCTCAAACCTTGCTTAGGAGGCAGATCTTCCCAAGCTGGACAAAAATGGTTTCTTTTATTTCTATGGAAAACTTTGAAGAAAAGGGGAACCTTACACAATAGAGATGATCAACATTAAGGTTTCTGAGAGGTTTCTGTGTATGTGGAACAAAAAACCCCATGTATTGAATAGTGCATAAATGAGAAACAAGACCTTTGTTCACCAAAAATGGTAGAGTTTTGAAACAAAAGCTTGAGAACCAACAAGAAAAATTACTCCTGACCTCTGCACTGTGCATGGGTTTCTGGGTGTGACTGATGAAAAATTATCTGTAGCACTCAGAATTTGTTCATCCTTACAGAAAGGGGAAGGCCAAAAGTCTTCCACAATAATAGTTTCCTTGTTGGAAATCAAACCTCTCAAAATGAAGCTATTTAGGAAGAAATTAATAAGCAAAAACTAAAACAAACATAGAGATTTGGGAAGTTCTAGAAAATAAATGTGATGCTGAGTCATAGAATAGCATTGCATGGAAGGGGTTGGATTGGAAGGATCAAAGAATCTTGGAATTATTTGGATTGGAAGGAATCTTAAAGATCATCCAGTCTCATGGCCATGGGCAGGGACACCTTCCACTATCCCAGGTTGCTCCAAGCCCTGCCCAATCTGGCCTTGGATGGGGCAGCCACAGCTTCTCTGGGCACCCTGTGCCAGGGCCTCACCAACCCCACAGGGAAAAATTTCTTCCTATTATCTAATTTAGTTACATCCTCTTTTAGTTTCAAGCCATTCCCCTTGTCCTGTCACTGTTTGCTCACGCAAAAAGTCCCTCTGTGGTGTTTTCACAAAGTACCTTTAGGAGCTGGAGGGATATAATGAGATCTGCCCACAGCCTTTTCTTCTTCAGGCTGAGCAATCCCATTCTCTCTCAGCCTGTCTGCACAGCAGAGGTGCTCCAGCCCTTGGAGCATCTTTGTGGCTCTCTAGTGCAGTATTTTTATTTTTTTCATGGATGTCTGTTCAGGGTGTATGATTTAATATTTTCATGCAGGGATTTAAAACCCTCAGTCATTTCATCCTTACCTGAGATTATATCCATAAGTGTTCTCTGTATTCCTGAAACTAATATTTACGTGTACTTTTGCCCATCCTTGTACCTACTCCTCTGCAGTAGGGTCTGTTATCAGGATGACAAGACATGTGCAAGCCCTCTGACATCTTAATATATTCCTGTAAGGTTTAAAGAAGCCACTCAAGTATGAAGATTGTAGTTAATTAGAAGAGCAAGAGTGTCAGGTCACAGAAACCTATCCATGTAGAAGGAAAACAGCATTTTGGTGTAACTGGAATTTTCTAGATGCATTTTGAGTTTTCTCTTTAAATATTACCTATTCACCCCAATGCATCCTTCACAAAATGAGCCAAATGGCTGTTTCATGGTGCTTTTTATTAGGGAGGGAAAAAAATAATACAAATTTGAAAGTTTTTAGACCTTGAAGGTCAGCCTCCTGGGACAGCTCCAGCAGATGGAATGTATTATTCTCTGTCAGCTGTTGTAGTTTGTATACACAACTCATTATTGTTAGATTTGTCAAAGTCACAGGACTCTCATTGTGATAAATTTCTGCTGGGCTAAAAATAAAACTCCCTGTTTATCATAGTGCTTTTCTGTTTGATTTTTGGAGTTTCTTGTGTGCTGATGTTTAAAGCAAAACTGCACAAAAGCAAATTTTTATCAGGAGAAGGGGGGATATTTCAGCTTTCTCTGACCCCTTTACCTTTGTTGTCTCTCTCATTTACAATGTGCAGTAGTGTTGATGTTGATTTATTCTGTCTGTAATACCAGTTTGGATGCTGACATTCCAGCATCCACCTGTCTGGAAGTGAGCTGGTTTTTCCCAGAGACTTGTTGCATTTCCCAGTGGGAAAAGGGGCTGCTTTTCCTTACTGGTGTAGATGGATTACAGTCTGCAGTACATATAAAGCAGCAAACATTTTAAGTGAAGTGGATTCAGAGAGTCCAGTGCTGACAAGCTGAGAGAAAGGTGAGAAAAAACATGTGGCCAAAATTACCAGAATAAAGCAAACACCAAAGCTTTTGAGAGTCTGCATAACTGTCAGCCTGAAAATCAGAAATATAAAGGCATGCACCAAATCAGCATGAGAAAGTATCCAGATACCAGGCTTCTGACAAATGTCATGCTTTTAAGAAGGTGGGTTTAGCAGTGAGAATTTGTGGTCAGTGCAGAGCTGTTCTATGTCCCCATTTGTCTGTCAGTTCAGGGCTTGTACTGATGGTTCTTGCTCATGTGGGAGAACTATGGAAACGCCTCTCTACCAGCAAGTTTTCAGTCTTTGCTGGTTCAGCCCTGCCTGCCCTGAGTGAGAACTTGCAGTGAATTCTGTGGTCTATCTCTCGTGGCCAAAGCTGATGACAGCACTGGGAGTGGGGATGGGGCGAGGGGAGGTGCAGGAGGAGAACAACTCTACTCTGCCAAACCCACTCGTTCTTCTGATTAAATCTGGCAGCTTTTGAGGCTTAAACATTTATTTTTGCTCTGCATTTATTCAACTCCCTGTTGTGCCTGGTATAAGGGTTTGGGTCAGTGGTCACATCAGATTTGAGCAGGGACTTTGTACCAGATGTTCCCAGAGACCAGGGCAGTGCTGTGTGAGGGAAGGTGTTTGCAGCTGCCCAGGCTTTTTCTAGACATCATCAGCACAGCAGTGGGGAGAAAATGAGTTGAAAAGTAAAAATATCTATGCATACCCCAGCCATAGGTGTTTTCTTGCCAAAGTTAGTATTTCAGATAACTGTGAAAACATCAAAAGATGTAGAAAATTGGAGAAGTAAATAACTTGTCTTTGAGTCAACATATTGACTGATAATGACACAGAAGCCGCTTCTTAAAATGAGATTACAATTTATCAGGTCAATTTATAAAGTTTTTGGTAAGTTTTTTCACAGTACTGATGCAGCCCTGATAATTTGTACTCTGGGATCCAGAACATACATGGTCTTGCTGTGTGAGGCTCAGGGCAAGAGAAGGAAGGAAGCAAATCCAAAACCCTGTCATAAAAATCTACTCTTGATGATAAAGTCAGTATTTGGGTTTCTCTTTTGATATATTTGAGGAATCAGCAGAATCTTCTCACTAAATGCAGGCCCTTGTGGGGTTTTCATGACCTGTCTAATGGAAGAACCTATTGACTTAGCCAGCCTTGGGAAAAAAGGGAGAAATGAAATAAGGTTTTTCAAGAATGGAAAGTCAGAGTGAATAGATAAGGTATGGTAGAAAGTAGGTTGAAAGTTATTTTCTGTTCTGTATCAAAAAGGGTAAACATATTATAAAAGTAAGAACTAGAATTTAGCGC